CACTTCCTGTTTCACCGGAAATGACTACAGCTTTTGATTTTTAAATGGCACCCTCGGTATTTTTTTACTTTATTTGATAGAAAATGACACTCTGAATTGAATGGCGTTAAAAACAAATTGAATTTTAAATTTTAATTTAGAGTGATTCATGGCTGTATTAAAAACACTAATTTTTAGGCAAGGAGCCTTGGAAAAATAGATTTGATCCATCTAATGTTTTTAATGTCTTGTCCTGGCCGGTTAAAAGATGCCCAAATCGTATTTTTAATCATATCTCAATTTTTTCAAATGGAACGAGGATGGCTCATTAGCATGTTTGGAAAAAGCATTTTTTTACCAATAATTTGATGCCACACACTTGGTATTTCGAGACAAATTGTCGTTAAGAACCGCATGATATCATTTCAAATAAACCGTAAAAAACAAGCAAAAATATCAAAAGTTTTTATATTATATGTTGTTCTATTCAGAGTGTCATTTTCTATCGAATAAAGTTTAAAAAAAATATCGAGGGTGCTATTTTAAACTAAATGTAGTCATTTATGGTCTATTAGTCATTTCCGGTGAAACCGGAAGTGACCGAATACAATTGAATATGTCAATAAATCCTAATTTATGTCGTATACTAACGTACCAAATCTCCTTGGTTATCTGAAAAAAAAATATAGGGGTGAACCAATTTTGAGACGCACCCGGTATATAAATACATATTGACAGTGCCTTCGAAACGAACGAAGTCTGCTTTATATTAAAGTACGCTTTAATAGTTCAAGTTAATAAAGAAAATATTTCTACATGAAACCTTTCGTTATCATGAATTGTTTTCTTTAATTAAATTAAAACGCGTAGTGAAAAAATCTTTAAATGATTTTGTTTTCAAGCATGTCACTTAGAACAAGCTTTTCATGTCTAAAAAACATTCAAAAAATGAGTGTTGAATAGACTTTCATAACCAGTACTTCAAAAAGGGTTATTACTGGTACTACAACAAAATTACAATTTTATAAAGAACTAACTGACAAGTTACCAATTCTATAAATCATAAGAACAGATTCAATACATAAAAAAACATCTCAATTTCTGTATTATTTATGTAATAATTTTTAAATTACAAAGTGAGATTCATATCTTGAGAGATTATGAAATATAGTGCAAATATAATCCAGGGTATTTCAAATTATTAGTTTGGTTGTCCATATTAATCTATGTTAGTATTTGTAAACGGTTTACAATAAGAATAGAATATTAGGCTTACAGAAAATGGTAGCCTTCGACAGAGAATGGTTTTCAATAGCAGCGAGGGACAGGAATGACAATCGGTGATACTTTTCGCGAGGTCAAACTGTAGATGTCATTTACGTCTTGTTTTACCGACCCTGTTTCACCGGAAATGACTGCAACTTTTGATTTTAAAGCGCACCATCGGTATTTTATTTGATAGAAAATTACACTCTGAATAGAATGACATATAATATGTCAACTTTTGACACTTTTGCATATGGTTTATTTGAGTTTGTAACGTCCGGTACAAACGACTTTTTGAGTCAAAATACCAGGTGTATGGTACCAAATTATTTGTAAAAAATGCTTTTTCTAAATATGCTAATGAGCCACCCTCGTTCCATTTGAAAAAAATTGAGATTTTTGTGTCGTTTTCGTATCTTGTAATTTCCGACGGGTAAAATATGCCTAAATCGTATTTTTAATCATATCTCAATATTTTTCAAATGGAACGAGGGTGGCTCATTAGCATATTTAGAAAAAGCATTTTTTACAAATAATTTGGTACCACACACCTGGTATTTTGACTCAAAGAGTCGTTCTGAACCGGTCGTTACAAACTCAAATAAACCATATGCAAAAGTGTCAAAAGTTGACATATGATATATCATTCTATTCAGAGTGTAATTTTCTATCCAATAAAGTACCGACGGTGCCATTTAAAATCAAAAGTTGTAGTCATTTCCGGTGAAACAGGTAGTAACAAAAAAGAATAGTATACGTCAGTCAATCCTAATGGGGTGAGTCACTTTTGAGACGCACCCGGTATATACATTATACTTCATAATCTTTTTAGATATGATAGACACTTTCTTATTTAATTAAATATTTTTTTATGTGCTCTAATGATTTTTAGATTTTTTAACTTATCAGTTACGTTCTTATAAATATGTTCCAGAGTCTTTCAAATTACTAGTTTGGTTTGTTGCACATGTTTAACTTTATTGCTCGTATTTGAAGGGTCCAGTCCGTGATTTTAATACTTATACATGGTTTTTAGTCCTTATTTTACTTTTATACAGATTTATTCAACTTGGGCAGCATATACTGCAGATAAAAATAAGTTCGTATAAATGTATGTCCTAAAATGCTTAGTTTCGGAGATAGAATGTGTAGAAATTCCATTTTTATTTCAATTTTTTTCCAAATAATTTCTGAAGTAATGTCAATATTTGGATGAAAATTGGTATCTGGGAGTTTTTTGACATGAAAAACTTGATTTTGATGCCAATATGACTTCTTGTTATAGGGGGCGCCACCTACATGTATTTTAACTGTTTTGAAGAGCAATAACTTTTCGTCCGTACCTGTATTAAACTAATGAGTGAAAAAATATACATTTTCGTGATTTTTTACGTAAAAAATGTCTCTATGTAAAAATTGCTACGAGCCACTGTTTTTAAGATATTTAGAATGGAAATAGTCATTACATGTCATTATTGACAAAAAATAAACATGTTGAGTAGATAGCTATTTGAATGAAATAATAAATTTGGAAACTTTTTATTTTTTTAAATTAATCATAAATTTTTCATCGAGAAAACGATGATAAAACAGTTTCTGTTAAACTTTTGGCACAAAAACATTTCAAAAGTTGTCGTCATTTAAGGAGAAAAAGGTAGTGACAGAAAAGAATAGTATACGTCAGTCAATCCTAATGGTATGAGCCACTTTTGATACGCACCCGGTATATGCATTAAAATTCATAATCTTTTTAGATGTGATACACACTTTCTTATTTAATTAAATATTTTTTTATGTACTCTTATGATTTTTAGATTTTTTAACTTATCAGTTACGTTCTTATAAATATGTTCCAGAGTCTTTCAAATTACTAGTTTGGTTTGTTGCATGATGTTTAAATTTATTGCTCGTATTTGCAGGGTCCAGTCCGTGATTTTAATACTTACGCATGTTCTTTAGTCCTTATTTAGCTTTTATACAGATTTATTTGTTTTAAATTTGTTTAGTGTGTAGTGTTTAGTGTGCTTCTCATACGAAATATACAGGGTGGTCCGGAAACTTCGGCAGCATATACTGCAGATAAAAATAAGTAAAAATTTCGTATAAAATATGTCCTAAAGAAGAAAGTTTTGAAGAGCAATAACTTTTCGTCCGTACCTGTATAAAACTACTGAGTGAAAAAATATGCATTTTCGTGATTTTTTACGTAAAAAATGTCTCTATGTAAAAATCGCTACGAGTCACTGTTTATAAGATATTTAGAATGGAAATGGTCAATACATGTCATTATTGACAAAAAATAAACATTTAGCTATTTGAATGAAATAATTAATTTGGAAACTTTTAATTTTTTTAAGTTAATCATAAATTTTTCATCGAAAAAACTATGATAAAACAGTTTCTGTTGAACTTTTGGCACAAAAACATTTCAAATTTATGATTTCAGTCTAATAACTATTTGGTCAATATGTTTAATTTATGTCAATGATGATAGGTATTGATAATTTCGGTTCCAAATATCTCGAGAACCATTACTCGTAAGGATTTTTACCAAGAGACCTTTTTTACGTAAAAAAACATCGTAAATGTATATTTTTGTTTTCAAGAGTTTTGTACAGGTACGGACGAAAAGTTATGACTCTTCAACTAGTTAAAAATATTTAGGTGGCGCCCCCTAAAAGCAGTAGTCATATTAACATCTAAATCCAAATTTCTAATATCGAAAAACTGCCAGACAACAATTTTCATCTTAATATTGACGTTATTTCAAAAATAATTTTAAAAAAATCGAAATAAAAATTGAACTTCTACATCCTGTATCTCCAAAACGAAGCATTTTAGGAAATAAGTTTACACGAATTTTTGACTAATTTTTATATGCACAAAATGCTGCCGAAGTTTCCGGAATACAGTTCGGACCACCCTGTATAATGAACGCTTCAACAGTTGTCCTCTTTTGCCCAACGTTTGTTGGAAGGGACCTGTTTCTAAAGTGAAACATACAGCATGTCCTCGGATTGTCTTTACAAGAGGAAAAGCTTTTTTATTATTTATATTTTGAGAAAAATGCATTCTTCATGATTTTTTTTTGCTTGTTCTAAAATGAAGAAAAACATGAAAATATGGTTGAATTATTTTTGGTTGAAGTCTTAAAAATCAAAACGTGTTTCTATGGTAATGCAACTTCGTTTTCATTCTTTGATAGATTGTTATTCATAGAAATTTAATTAACGTAATGTTTTTTGTTGTTTTAAATGTTAAAGATGCACAACATTTATTTAGTTCAAGGCTAAGGAAAGGGTGATGATAGTTATCGGAAAATGACACTTTAACAACAGCAAAGAATATGACATTAATCAAAATTAATAATAACCATCTCTCAAAGAATGAAATTGGATTGATATTACCATAGATTTTTCAAACGCCTTCACAAAAAATCAAACGCCTTTTGATTTTAGAACTTAGGAAAAATTTAACCATATTTTTGTTTTTCATAATTTCCACTAAAACGGTATGGAAATTTGGAAAAGTATAAACGGGATTAGCCATTTTAGAACAAGCGAAAATTTTTATGAAGAATGCATTTTTCTCAAAATGTCAATAATAAAAAAGTTCTTTCTCTTGCAAAGATAATCCAGGGACATACTGTATAGACTTGGAATGGCACAGGTCAAGAATATCCTAGCGAAATTATTCAAGCTAAACTCCAAATAGATATTAACGCAGTACAAAAAGGAAAATGAAACAAAACAATATGCATTAAGAGAATACGTTTATTGGTTGAGTATAACAGAACATGCCTGGGCAACAGGCCTAGCAAGCCTGTCTGTTATAAAATGGTTAACCATTTTAGTAACATCGATAAATATTTTAAAACACCAATAATACATTATATTATGTTTCCAAGTAAATCTGAAGAAAGTAGCAGGTTTGTACAAATAGTCCACCATTAAAATTTGCAATAAGAGTTAGAGAAAGTAGTTAAGTTTTATTATTAGGTTTTTTGTCGTGTCAATAATTCGTGAGTGAATTCGACTCTATTCAAAGTGTCAAAGAAAGAGCGGGGCGAGGAAAGTAAACCGCGCATAGACACACAGGTTAACTCTCCCCGCCCGTCGTACTATCAATAGAGTCGAATAGGGCCATGTCGTCAAAATCGTGAGTGGGGGCGCGTGCGGTTCGCGCAGAGCCCAATCTGCGCCGACCACAGCGCGATTAAGTAATGTCTCAACCGGTGTGTGGATTTCCGTTTTCGAAAATCATTCAAGAGAAATGCTCTCTACAATTGTCAGGTCGTGTTTTTGTGTCCCTGACATGATTCACGCATACTCGGTGTATTTAATGAGTATATTTAGCACATAAAAAGCAACTACTATCTAAAATATTGTTCACGAGATGGGGATTTCAGATTAAACTGATTCGGGATTAGTTAAATATTAATTAGAGTGAGAGAATCGTCCTTGTTCTTTGCCGCGGGTCGGTAGTATTGGGTTTGGGCCGAGGTCCGATGTGCTGCGTTGACGTAGCAGTGCGCGGCTAGGGCCCATCCTAGCCGGCAAGAGCGGTGCTGCTGGGCTTAGTACATGTTGTTGCCCTTCTTCGCCGCTACTGGTAACTTCTCACCCTCCAGGAATGGATTGGCTTTCTAAAACGTGTAAAGAATAACGGATTTTATATTTACACTCAACGGAGAAATTTTGGTCAAATTTAAACTGTTATATTTTGTTATATTTAGCTCTATTTTCATGATTTTTTTAGCAAGCTGTACATAATTATATCATCTTTAATTCGTAAACTAAGTTTTTATAAACTTTTGTATTTGGCATAGTTTACAGGGTTAAACGAGGGGTTGTTTTTTACCTTAACTTTAAAACAACCTGTGCAATAATTTCGTGTGTAAATTTTTCTAAAATATAATTTTATTATTTCTATTTGAAATTGTTTTTCAATATACTATGAACTGGCCATCGTGTTCGACGTTTGGGAAATGCTTGGCAGGATGTTTAGAGGTCGCGAAGCAATACCAGCTTCATTAAATGAACTTCACTTGGTTCTTACAGAAGAATGGGAAAGCATAACGCAATATGATACATGCAGCCTCAATGACAGTATGAACGGACGTATAAGGCAGTTGTAGCAGCCAAGGGAGGCAATACAAAGTATTAGGGTATTTTTTACAATTTCTTTTTCTGTTTGTATACCTACTTGACTATTACAGATGTTTCTTTAATATCGTTAATTCTGTTATCGTTATGAATGTTTATTTACACCAGGACATTATCGTCAGTCTTTAGTGTTTTTTTTTAATTTAGTATAGAGTATCCAATGCAGCGTAATGTGACGTTACGACCATGGTCACCAAAACCATCTCGTCATATTACAAAATTACATCAAAAAGTAATGATAATTGAAAAAATTGCAAATTGACCGTGATCAGTTCATTTCGCCCTTAAAAATTAACCAAAGCATGTATTGATATCAATCAAAAAACAAAATACCCGGCTTCTCACCGTAAAACTATATTTCAGAAAAATTTACACACGAAATTATTGCACAGGGTGTTTTAAAGTTAGAATAAAAAAAACAACCCCTGGAACACTATAAAAACTTAGTTTAAGAATTAAAGTTTAATTAATTAATTAAGGTTGATAATTATATACAGTTTGCTAAAAAAAATCTCGAGAATAGGGCTAAAAATAACAAAAATATAACACTGAATTTTTTGACCAAAATTTTCTCCGTTGCGTTTTTTTGCATCTGAGTGTAGTATACAAACGATTGAACGTCCAAATATATGAAACACGGGCGACGCCGACGTCGAGAGTATCAAGCTGGATTTATAAACTCGGAAGATGAGGTTCAGTTGCCGTTCAAAATATCCAACGCTATGAAACGAACGCGCGCATTTATAAAGTCAGTTGGTCGAAAAGTTGGCAGTTCGTTTTACGTTCAGCGGAGTTCAAAGATGGTCAACGTTTATGTCGGCAGTTGCAGGCAGTTGGCGACCGCTGGCGACGTTCGGCGACAGCCAATGAATAAGCGCCTGTCGATCACGTGAAGCACGGTAAAGAGAGGCGACGCCAATGCATTGGAAAATGACCCTTATTGTTGTTTCATTATTTCTGTTAATATAATGTTTATATTTTGCGTAATCTTGGATTACTGTGTTTGAACTTTGACAAATATCAAAAGTATTTTTAAATCGAAAGAAAACCGTTCGAAATTTTCACAATTCCAAACCTAACCTACAACCGAAACAGACAGTTTATAAATGCAAAAACATTGAACCTCAACTGCCGCGAACATCCAACTGCAACTGAATCTCAACTGAACGCCAACTCCCGAGTTTATAAATCCAGCTTCATGGTGTAAATTGTCACTGTTGACGCGTCAACTATGGTATCGACGTCAATTCTAGTAAATCGACGTCGATATGTCCAAATATTTCTAGGGATGGTATATTTCAATCCCAGGAACACGCCTATGAGTTTTTTTTGCGTGAAAAAAAATTGAAAAGTATGTATATTTCAAAATTTGTTTTAAATAAAAAAGATGCATAGAAAACAGTAGAAAATTTAAAATAACAAATGTCAGATTAGAAAAAAATTCTAACATCCAAAATAACAAATATATCCAAATTTCAAAGAAAATTGTCATAACAACTGGCAACATTTACCATGTCTATCAACATAAAGCAGTTTTATCGGCCAATTCGTTTACTTGATGCGATAGCTTTTTTAACAAGGATATAAAATGCGCTTTAAGTTTCAAACAAATTTTTATTTATTAGAAATTTACTTTGGTAATATTTTCGACGTCTTTGATGACGTGCACACCAATTTTATAGATTTATCTGTAGGTTATAATAATCTCCTAATACTGGTTATAATAATCTCCTAACTACTACACTTCAGTAGGCTGAAGCTGAGAAACAGCGGCAAATGCAGATTCTGTGGGGAAAATGGAGAACACCAGAACACCTCATCACTGAGTGCGCCGAAACGACAACCATTCGTACCATGAACTTTGGTACGGCTGATGTCGAGGATGGAGAGCTGGCCTCAGTGGAGCCGTCTCAGATACTGGCTTTTGTTAAAGCCCTGAGACTGTATGATAAGTTATAACTCGTTATAACTCAAGAAAGGGGAACACACAATAGATCTGTAAAGTCGCGGTGATTAACTCCCCTCCTAAACATTCTACATTCTACTACACAAACGTATTACTTTTGTTAGAGATAAACAAAACGATAATAATGCCTACTAATAAAGGTAGTTCTAATTGGATTTTAAGATTTACCATATTTATGGACAATTGCAAATATAAGATTCAAGTCTATCTCTTTTGTGATATTCGAGAATAAGGAAAATCCTATTAAATTACGTTTATTTGTGCGAGACTACCTGTAGAAAAATATATATACAAAGTGAATATGATAAAAAATATAGGTATAAAAATATGTTATAAAATGAACAAACATTTTTCCTACTCATTGGAAAAGATTCGTTTAAATGAAAGTTATATGCGAAGATGTAAAAAATATACAAAATATCATTTAAAATTCTGCACATACAGGGTGTTTCATAAAATATGTGCTTACTCAACATATAAATTCATTCATCAAATCCAATATCGCAAAACTACCAAATGTTAGAATTTATAGTTAGCCATGGATAAAATTTTGTTTTGATTTTTCAAGTGAAACCTCTTTAAGCGCGATGGGAGTAAAAATTCAAGGCCGCGACACACGAGCTAGCGCATGACATGCGTCACAAAAGTGGTACCGATAGAGAAAGTGGTAAGCCAACGAGGAAGAGATAGTCTTTGGAGTGTCGTAACTCGTGTCTTATGTGAGCTAGGGGGTTGAAACTAAGTCGAAACTCGGAATGTAAATCAAAAAAAGTATCGAAGAGCCCATCTTTTCATGATATTTTGGCGATGTTTCATGCACTATGAAACTCTATCATCAATGGCGAAAAAATCGTCCGATTTAATAGGTCTTTGGAGCGTCGCAACTCGGGCCCTATATGATATTTTGACGACGTTTCGGGCAGTATGAAACCCCATCATAAATGGCGAAAAAATCGTCCGATTAATGAAATTTGGTATGCCCATAGATAGGACCAAGGCCAACTTGACCATGTACGATACGTGTCACTGTTAGGCCGGATTATTTATTTTTATTATCACCCGATCGGACCGACCCCAATCGTCCAGATTTAGATCGCGCGACGAAGATCTTTCACCTAAGCGCAAATAGGTACGTGCCCACTGCACAGTGGTTCCCCTTAATTAGCTGCGCGGTCATAACTGTTAGATATCTAGATATATACGCTGTTTTTTTTCTCAGGTAATATTTCGACAGACGATGACAGAAGAAAAGCAGATGATGTCCCATACCAATCTAATTATTTTACTAAAAAAAGTTTCTAATAATTTTTAAGTTATCTATGGATGGGTTTAAATATAAATCCGTCATGCGTCGTGTCTTGTTGTTTTTAACCAGTTTTATTGGTTTATTTAAAAAATGACAGATCGTATTTCAATTTTATTGGTTTGACGGAACGATGAACGACAAACGGACGCCGATGCGTATGAACTCGCCTGTAGATTTTGTCATTTTTTGACGCTTGTCAAAGTCTTGCCAAATTATAGGTTATAATTTTGTGTCTTTTATTTAAATACCCTGCGTTTTTGGAAGATGATGCATTTTTGATTCGTATTATTACGTGTGTTTTGTGTCTTTTGAAGTCAATTGGAGGAAAAATCGAGTGAAAATTAACTGTAGACCCAGAGCACAGTTTATGGTTAATACTCGCTGCCCAGGCAGAAAGTCTTATACACCAATGAAGTTGCCATCGATAAAGTTTGTACACCATTTCGTCGTAGATAAGTGCATCTCGTATATGGTAGAAGGATCAAACTAAACACATACTAAAAACTGGAGTAGCTGTAAAATATCGACATCACACGATAGGTAAATAATGGATTTTAGTACTGCAGAAAAATAATGTCAAAAGGTACTGGTTTAAAAAAATTATGATTAAAGTTAATTAATCAACCTTTAAGGTATAAAATTTGGTAGGTGTTATTATTAATAAAATAGTTTGTTTTATTTACCTATGTTGTTTTATTTATTCCTGTGAAATATTACAAATTTGTATTTGTACATAAGTTATATTGATAAATATAATCATAAATGCGGGTAGTTTCATAAAGCTTGAAAGTAAATAATAGTTCTTTTTTATATTTTTTTGGTATGTAGTGTCTTGTTCTTGTTTGTTTTGTATTAACATATACCGTTTTTATTAAATAAAATAACTCGATTACATTTTTTCAGTTTTATACAGTTTTTTTCACAATATTTTGAAGTAATCACTTTCAGTCAAATTTTAAATATTTCCTGCTATGCGTTCCAGTTGCACCAACTTATTTCTTTGTAAAATAAATAAACTACTTTGAAATTAAAAGGGGAACACACAATAGATCTGTAAAGTCGCGGTGATTAACTCCCCTCCTAAACATTCTACATTCTACTACACAAACGTATTACTTTTGTTAGAGATAAACAAAACGATAATAATGCCTACTAATAAAGGTAGTTCTAATTGGATTTTAGGATTTACCATATTTTTGGACAATTGC